ATATCTTTTCTTAAAGATTCATAGAAATGGACCTAGGGTTGATCGATTATCAATACCACTTATTAGGTACAACATTAACCCATATAAACTGTGTTGTCTATACTTCATTATTTTTTATTTTGAGTGATTTCAAAGATCAAAAAGACTATTTTTGATTTTGTTTCTCATAAGTTACCTGTTGTTTTTGAAGGGTTTGATTTTGAGCTTATATTTGGTTTTTGTATTGTATAGAAAGAAAATTTATTTCTTATCATATAAAACGTGTTATGTCTTTAAGTTGTGCAAAAGAGTTCAATTTTATGGATCGAAAAATCCTTCTAATTGTATAAGGTCCTACAAAATAAAAAGCAAACCTTAACTTATCAATTTTTGTAGTTAATCTATCTAGGTTTGAAATGCAGGGGTTGTTGGCAAAGGCCAAATTTCATGTGAATTAAAGGGTAAATCATTTATTCAACCACTTCATCAGGTGAATGAGCATTTACATAATTTAATTTAATCCAAAATCTTTAGTTCATTTTTTTATGAAGTTTTGTGTATGATGTAACTTTATGAAACATTTGTTTGGTTTTGACTAATGGTTTAAGATATTTTTTTAGGAGACCAACGTAAGAGGAATTGGGTTTTTTGAAGGATTCTGTTAATCAAAAGATAAAGGTCTGATCGATGTAGTGTAATCATTGAAAGTCTGCTAAATTTTAATCATTTAATGAGATGTTGATGTTAAAATTTTATATTTATGATTTAACACTTTTCTGAAAATTTAAATTATATTGATGGATCTTCAATTTTAGCTCGCAGCCCTCTTAAAACAGGTTGGAAGCTACAAGAGCCCTGATGAACATCCATTTTTCCCAAATGACTTATGTGGCCTAATGTTGCCTCCTTTTTAGTATCCACGGGTAATGATAGTTAGATACTTGAGTTTTTATTGGTCTTATTTGGATATGCAATAAAATCAGTTTTTTATACATATAGATTTTGCATCCGTCTGATCATTTGTACTTAAGGATAAATTCAAAATTAACAATGTACTTTAATTTCTTTTTTTGTTATTGCAATTTAGTTGGGGATAAAAAAAAGAAAGTTTCTATTTCTTGGGGTAAATGCAAGAATTAGCGAATTACAAAATATTTTTAAGAAAATAACCAAAAAAACAGTTTTTGAAAAATAACCACATTTTATTGAATGTCATTATTGGTAAATAACTACAAGTATATTGTTGTTACGTGAAACGAGGCTTGATTAATCATGACTATAAATTAGGGTTCATCAAGGATTCTGGAGCAGCTTTGGGGAAGTCAGTTGAGTATGGAAGCGCACCTCAAACCAAACATGTATGCTGATTAGTTAAATTCAAAATTGATTCGTTACGAATGTTAGTTGTGTTTTCTATTTGGTTTATTGTAATAACACCCTTTGGAAAAGAATCTTATCTGAATTTTGACGATTTTATACACTATAATCATACATATAGTCTTATCTTTATATCTATGATGAAATTTCAATATGACCCTTTTGATCCAATTTGAACCACGAAGTTATTTAGTTTAGACCTATTGTGAAGGCATATTAATTATTAATAACCAAGCCTATGAGTTTAATGATCTAGATATATTAATTTTCTTATTTTTTTTAGCTTTTTGTCATAGGTTAACTTTATTTTTGGTTATTCTGTTTTTTTTTCATTTTGTTACAGGAATCATAGATTAACTTTATTTTTTTTAATTCAAATAAAAACTTATGTTTATTATTATCCAATGCATTAAAGATGGAGACATGGAGATGATTCATCATATAAAGAAACATAGAATTTCTACTCAAAATTATTAAGATATAATGATTTGTTTTTGGATTTAAAGACTACTTGTAAATGGTAAATAATATGTTTGTGATAGCTTAAACATTTTAATGCAGATTGGATTGCAAAACAACATAAATTGAAAGATTCAACTCCCTTTTTTACTAAATGATTGTCAGAGAGAGATACCAACAAAACAAGTCTACTTCTACTACTTAACAGACTTCCATTCAGACCGAAAGACACCAGACTTTCATTTAACCCAAAGCACCAACAGATTCTCCCAACTGCTTTTCCTGACTTCATTTACTTTGGAAAAGACCATATCGCCGATGTATTGACTTACCTTACATTCTCTCCTCATATACAACTTCTCTTCTTTCTTTTATAGTTGATTTAAGATTTAAGATGTTATTTGGGGGTTTAAATCCATTGCTTTGTATTTGGATAATAAGTCATTAATGAATGATTTGCAATGTTTACTATATCTTTAATTTTGATTTTTGTACCTTTTTGTAATTTTGAGTTTTTATCTTGTGTGTAATATTTGATTGGTTATACTATATAGTTGCATCTATGTTATTTTATTCTTTTAGTCTTTGTTGAAATCTAATATTACATGTTGAACTTTGTTATTTGAAAGATGCAATTTTAAGTTAAAATGTGTTAATATTGCTTCTAAAATTATAATAAGAACTAGAAAAGATTCTCCGGCGTTGTCGGGTCAGAAGGTATTGCTTTGTAAAGTAAAGTAGCATGTTGGTTGCTTTTTGTCCGTTAATGTGAGGGTAATTTGGTCTTTTCAGGTAGTAGGGCCTGAATTTGTCACCATGGGTGATGGCAGATGGTGGGTGGGTTTATGGTATTGGGTGGGTATTTTCTAATAAATAAAACATTAATTTAAAACCAAAAGAGAATGTTAAATCTGGTAAACCACAGGGACCAATCGTGTAATTTTGTCTAACAATAATAATAATAATGATGAGGGACCATTTCTGCCAAAAGACTAAATACTAATAATATGTAGTAAAAGGCGAGGGTTATGAAAAATTCAAACCAAAGTGAAAGGGTTGTTTGTGAACAAAAGCATAAAGATGAATGGTCAATGTTGTAAGTTGGAGGACCAAAATTGACAAAAAAAGATGTCACTTTACTGTTAAAACTTTTCATAACTTTAATATATATATATATATATATATATATATATATATATATATATATATATATATATATATATATATATATATATATATAAAATGTTGTGAGGATTTGTTAAAATAAAAAATAATTGACAATTGTTTGTTTATTACGAAAAAATCAATTGAAGCTAGGTTTGTTTAATATCCATTTTTGCTAATTCATCCACTTTTGGGTTTAATATGTTTTTTTTTCAATATATATATATATATATATATATATATATATATATATATATATATATATATATATAGACTTAGATTATTCTATTCTAACTAATTATTGTGCGGATATCGTATGCTATGAGAATGATAAAGAAAATATTTTGTTTGATAATATAAATAAGTTCAATCTTACATAACTATTGTCATTAACACACATTCCCACTAATTAAATCGTCTATAAGGTTATTATACACTTATTATTATTATTCTCATTTCTGTTAGAATATTTGTCAGAATGTTTATTGGGTCGTATTCTGTCAAAATGAAAATGAGTGAAAAACGATGTGCGAGAAGAAAAATAAATAATAATTAACGAGAATACATAAACACACAATTGACTTATCATACATACCAAGAAAAGGTATAATCAAATTTGAGAAAAAGAAACTAATAGAAACCGAAATACACGCAATCAGATTTCTCAAACCAACAAAATATATGATCAAAATTAAGAAGATGCAAAAAAAAAAAAATAGAACTAGAAACACACGCGTTTGGATATATAATCAAATTTAAGAAGAATAATTATTAATAATAATTATTCTTCTTAAGAGGTATGGGAATCCCTTATAAAAAAAAATAAGGTTATCTCCAATGCATTCAACTCATATGAGTTCAATGGATTGACACATATATATTCCACTCATTATACAACTTTGCCCATTAAACTCTATATTTCATTAAACTCTATTCAATTTAATGGATTGTCACATCATTTATCATTTTCTTTTTATTTATTGTTATTTTTTTAAAGATTAAATAGCATGAAATTAAAAATTAAAAACTACAATTAAAATTAACATTAATTAAAATTTCAAATAAAAAATAATTTTAATATATATATATATATATATATATATATATATATATATATATTATATGTGTGTGTATGTGTGTGTGAGGAGAGAGAGTATAGAGTTCAATGGGGATTGGACTTCCCATTCTATTGAATCCTAGTCATTTTCTGGGGATTTTGAGTTTAATGAGATTAACTTTCTATTAAACTCCTATTGGAGATGGCCTAAGCAAAGCTACACTCCCAATGGGCAGGGTTTTGAAAACTGTGGGTATCCCCCTTTTTTAAAAATATACACCGATTTAAATATGCAAAGTGAATTTTTGAAACAATTGGTTGATTGGTGAAAAAGAATCACCCACCCCCAATCCCATACATGATGTTTTTAGATTAAGAATAAAAAACATGATATGTGAGGCATACATATACATGTTAATGTTCTTCATTATTATATTCTGAAACTTTCAACGAGTCAATGATCTAAAAAGAGTTGCTGCAAAATTTTATAATATGTTCTTGTATTGATTTATTATTGGTGGGAAATTAAAGACGTTCCTTTCATTATATAAGTTTTCAGGAAAATGCTCCAACACAAAATTATTATATTGCGTATACTTTTCAAAGTATAACACAATAGCATAAAGCACATATTTCAAAAATACAATGTTGCAATAAAAAATAGAAATGTAGTAGTGCTAATAAGTAAAAAAAACATGGAAACTATTTATTCAATTTGCATTTACACATTTACACCTAAACGACATCACAATCACAAGAACCAGAATGAGAACGATGAATCTCTGAGTAGTATTGTTTTTACTGGAATCTCTTCATTTTTCAGGGATGCAAATACGATCAACAATAAGATTTTGTATTAATAAATATCATTTTCCCAAAAGCATTTGTTTATTTGTCCTACCATTTTGTTGAAACAGTAGACTAACACCAAGGTGAATCGGAACTCACCGATTTTATACCTGATTTACACCTCACATGATGCTCTGCTAGGAGCAGTGTAGGCCAACTCAGGGGTTGCTGGAAGAATGACCTTTTTACAGACAACATTTTTGCTTAACAACAACTTCACAAGTCTCTCCTTAAGTACAGAAGAAAGCAAATCACAACTAGTCAAAGCATCAAACGACTGCACCACACCTTTTCTTTCAAGCACATCAAGAGCCGATAACACGCCCCTAACAATCAAATCTTTCCTTTCAACATCATAATGATCCACCAAAAGGAATAAAAACTCCAAAAGATTTTGTGTCATGTCAACATATTTAGGCACCGAGTTTATCATCAACAACATTGCAGGCTCAATGTTCATTATATTATCAACTTCTTCATGAAAGAAAAGAAAGTCATACAACAATGCCAGCTTCACATTAGCTTGCACATGATTCTTACTACAACATGTCAGCAACCAACCAATCACAGCCCATCTAGGAATCACATTTGATAGGATTGTTTTATTAGAAGGGTGATGTGCACAACAGATAAACCGAACAATATCAATCACAACACTCTCCTTTTCTTGGACATTAAGAAACTTCTTCCCAAACCAAATTTGGTATCGAGTTTGACTTCCGAGTTTGACTTGTGTAAGCAAGAATCGCAAGTAAGTTTCCATTTCAGGGGTAAGACGAAGTAAAAAGTATCTGCTAGAAGTTCTTGATTGATAAAGCTGTGAAATATCTGAAAACCCTAATGTTTTGAAATTACCAGGAAACAATAAGAGATCTTTCCATATTTCTTGAAATTCAGGCACATGAACTAAGTCTTGAAGAAGCCTAATCAAATCTCTTCCGATTTTCAAACATAAATGGAACTGTTCCTTGAAAACCCTAATACAGAATTCGATTTCCTTCTGCTTCAAAGTGTCCAAATTTGAGTTTGATGAAACTCTACAATGATCAGCCAAGAGCCTAAGAAAGACATACATGGCGCTTGATAACACCAATGGTTGTTCTTCCAGCAAAGACTCCCATTTAATGGAGAAAAGAGTAACCAATTCAGAACACAACCACAAATTTGCTTTGCTAAAATCACCACCACGAGTTTGCCTCAACAAAGCCACTAACAAACTATCTATTCCAATAGCTGATACACGGATCATTATTGAAGTGACTCCAAGTAATTGAATTTTCACATTCTCAACAAGCTTTGAATACAATTCATCAACTAACCTGGTAAGTAAAGCTGTAAACAAACTGTATCCATCAGTTATGATGCCATGTAAGTGTTTGATATGAACTTCTGCCAAATGAGGTTCACATAGGATGCCATATAGAATAGCTCTGTTGAGATTCGAGTATTCAGGTTGTGTAAGGATTGTTAATGGAAACGGAGGCCTCAATTGGGATTCCAGAAGTTGAAAAGATTCTGTTAGAGACACATCAAATGGGTTATCAGCTTCATGTGTGGCTTTGTAAATGAGTCTAGATGCCATCAAAGATGAATCCAACAAAGAATTTACACACGCTTAAGGGCTGTTTGGCAGGATCATTCAGACATATGAATGGCACAGAGGCTCTGAAAAAGCTGCATCTGAATGAAAACATGATGTTTGGTTAGACATCTGAATGGTTGTACTGAATGATAAAAATCAACCCTTCTGTTTAAAATAATAATATAAACCAGAAATCATCAAAATGGAATCCCATTGATGTTCACTCATCCACATGAAAAACAATTTCACCAGTTCACCCTTCTATATTTTCTTACATGTAGCTAGGTTTATCTTTAATCATTTATAATGAAAGTTTTGACAAAAGTTTAGGTATATAACATCAATTTACTATTAAAGAACAAATGCATCACACAAGATCTCAACCAATGATATCAGTTTGTGGGAAAATTTAAATTCAAATATATGCAGTACAAATATTCTTTCCTGCATATGCATAACAAGTGGTTCTTTTTACGTAACAATTTCAAATTAAATTCAAATATATGGAGTGCCTATGCATATCAGTTGCAAATAGTTTGTTTGTTCCCACATGCATAACAATTTCCCAATTCCTGGATACATCAATTATGTTGCCCAATATAAATATGACAGCGATTATTTGTTCCTGCATATGCATATTTGTACCAATTGCCCAATACCTGGATGCATAACTTTATGATCAAAAACACATGTGATGCATTTTCCACAAACCACCAACAATATAAAGTACACAAATAAATGTCTAGCAATGAAGCAAATGTTATATACACGACTGCAGGTGAAGCCTGATAAAAGACAATCATTTTTCATTTAGGTTTTGCATCAAACACCTGGAGTGCATGTTTGATGAAACAATACTTAAAAATGAAAGTTGTGTTCAAAATTTTAGTATATCGACCATAAGGGAAGCTCAAAGGGAGACTTAAAGTTCAAAATTATTGTATTTAACTGAGACATCATTAAGAACAGAGCATATAATCGACATAGTATCTTGAGAATAGCAGCATCGAAATAGTAATCGCTTTTTTGTATAATAAAGTTATAGAAACACCTACTGGAATTAGGTTTGCGATTAGGGAGAGTAGAGATATACCCGTGGGAACGAAGCAATGAAGAACACGGACTATAGAGATGAGTCGAGAAAGACGCCAATGGCTTGAGTGCGAGTATATGAAGGAAAAAATTGATCAGAGGAGGGAAGGTCGTCGTTTCTGTGATGGAGGCGATAATGAAGAGGGTGGCTGCGGCCGGAGATGCGAAGCTGGAGAGGCGCGATTTGGACGAGTGAAGGAGCGTCGTTGGATGCAAGGCGAGAGAGAAGAGGTTTTGTATAAAAGAAAAAGCATTTTCATTTATTTTTATTTTTTTCGACAAAAATATATTTTTATTATGAATAAAGGTTGTCAAGATCGGGATCCTACGTAGGATCGTTTTCGGGATCGTAAGATCGGGATCTTAAGATCCCACAAAATAAAATATAATTTTAATTTATAATTTTTAATCATGAAAAATAATTCAAACATTCAATTTTTCGTTCAAAAGTTATAAAAAACTTCAAAATATTAGTCATAATTTGCAACACAAAATGATAAATGCTAAATTGGTAAAGGGTAAAGGTCATAAAGTGGTAAAAGAAATCAAGGGAGGTAGGATCGGATTTCGATGCTAAATTGGTAAATGGTGGTCCCCATGTTATAACATGTTAAAACATGTTAAGAGGTAGAGAGAGAAAGAAAAAAAAAAGATTTGATTGGTTGATAAAGGCAACAACCAATTAAATTTTTCGTTACATCTTGTATTCGTCACAACGATATATTCCATAACACCCCCTTAACGAGAAGGGAGTGGTGTTCAGCTTGTTATGACCCGGTTATAAAGTGTCATATCAGTAATAGCATTATTTCTTTTTGCCCATACCATGTGTGCTCTAAGAAAGTCACAACATGGCATGAAGATGTTATGTGTCATTATAAAGATGAATGTTGTTATTGTTGTTCCGCTTTTAACCAATTTCCTAAATTCAACCCAAATCATTTGGACTTATATCATGGTTGTCATTATTGACTATGATATTTGATTATATATTAAATAAAGTTTTATCGATCACCAAAACAATAATGTATCTGTTATAATTTACAAACTTGTGGACGAAACTAAAGATAGTTGTTAAATAATGTAACATTTATTTGTAAAATTTGTAAGAATATGGATTGATCTTGATAATTGACAAGAATGTTATTGATTAAGAGAAAATTTGATTTGTAATGGTCGGACTATTTTCCCTAGAAATTCAAATCGATCATTACCAAAGAGTTAGATAAAAAATGATAAGGGAGGAGGGAGTCGTTCCCTTCCAACCCACCGAACCCACTGTCACATCATTTTTTTCTCTTTTATTTTTCTTCATCTTTCCGAACCCACAACACATGAAAATCCTATCTTTTTGAACCCACTCAACTCACTCAATTAAAAAAAATACAAAACAATCAAATGTAAATTCTTAATTAGCAATAGAGTTATCGGGGGTACCACTCCCGCTTCAACGAGTAGGTTGATTGGTTTCACTAACCCACTTCATCATCTCTCTCTACTTTCTCTTTCTTATTTTCTCTTGTACCATGTGTTTTAAAACTTGTACCTTAGTTGTTTTGTATTTTTATTAATTGAGTAGGTTGAGTGGGTTCAAAAAGATAGGATTTCCGTGTGTTGTGGGTTCGGAAATATAAGGAAAAATAAAAAAGAAAAATTGATGTGGCAGTGGGTTCGGTGGGTTGGGAGGGAACGACTCCCTCCTCCCTAATAAATTAAAGGCGCAAGAAGTGTCTAAACATATGAGAAATATCTTAGTCGTTTAAGTTAAGAATATGAGTTTTTAGTTGAGTATAAAAAGAAATGAGATATGATGGTGTCCTTTTATGGTAAAATTTTGATAAACGGTAAACTGGTAAATAGTAAAAGACATAAAGTGGTAAAAAAATTCATTTTCAAAAAAATAAAAAAAAATAAGGTAGGATCGGATCGGATCCCGATCCTATCTAAAATCATATGATCTTACCCCAAATATGACCCGACTCGTTTTTCATACCTAATATTGTATGATCGTATAATCCTACGATCAAGATTGTGATTTTGACAACCTTGATTTTACTTATAACGAATTCCATAGAATTGGGTCAATCACCTGGTATCAAAAGACTTCCGAACCCTTTGAAGATTCTTATGCTCCGAATTCCACCTACCCAACCATTCTTCTTAAAATAAGAGATAATTATATTATTTGTTTACTATCTTTTTATAGAGTGAGAAATATAAAGCGGAAAGGAGGGTCACTAACAACAAGTGAGGGGAGGGTGTGTTGGGCCAAAAGAAATACTAACAATATTTTGAAATTAAAACAAAAACGTATATTTATAAAGAATTATAAAAAAAAGATAGAAAATCATTTTAGACAAAATTGCAAATATGGTCCTTGCGGTATGCATTTTTTTGGGGTTTTGGTCCAAACCACGAGTTTTTTTGGATTTGTGGTCCTTTTGGGCTAGTTTCATTATAAAACTGGTCCCCGATAAACTTGAAAAGACGATTTTGCCCTTTTAATTTGTTTTTTCCATTTACTTAATTATTTTTTTCTTTTATTTAAATATAAATGTTAAATCAAATCAAGAATGGGACCCACCTGCTCTCTCTCTCTCTCTCTCTGTGTGTGTGTGTGTTGTGTGTGTGTGTGTGAAAAAAAAACTCACTTCCCCACCATTGGCCACCATTTGGCAACCAACAACCCTAACCTCCTCTCTTGTTCAGATAATCAACCACCACCACCATTTTTGTTGTAAGGAAGGCCGAAAACCGCCATCTACTACCTTCACCGGCGAGAAAACCACCCACAACCACCACCACTGTTGATTCCGACCACCACCGAGTTCCCCCTCCTCCCCCACTCGTGTCTCCATCCAATTAAAACAGAAGCGAAGCGACAGAAGGTCGTCAGAGCAGCCCCCTGCCGCACGCCACCGCAAATCGTTGCCATTCGCTGCTGTTGCCGCCGACATCCTCCAGCCACCGCCGTCCGCTGCTGCTGTCGTCGCTGGTAAGCCATTCATCCCCTCATTCCGTGTAGATTGGTCGTTTCCCCTTAATCCGTTTCATCAGTCAAATCGAGGGACGAAGGTCTCGATTTTTTTTCTTGTGTGTTGAAGATGGGTCTGTAAATCACGAGTTGGAGAATGGTGGTGCAGGTAAGGAAGAAACAGAGAGACTTATGGTGGCGATTGCAATGGAGTGGAGGAGGAGGCGATCCCGCCGTCTGATGTGGTAAGGGAGGTTGCTCCGGCAACTCCCTCGTGATTCTTCTTTCTGTTCCGGTGGCACACCCATAGAGGGGAAGCAACAGCAGCAAAAGGGGGTGTTTGGGTGAGAGAGAGAGAGAGAAGTGGGCCCAAATTAGTTATTTATTTTCTTTTTCCTTTAAATTAAATAGAAAAAATATAAAAAATGTATTAGAAAGGGCATTTTAGTCTTTTCAGTTTTCCGAGGACCAAAATTAAAAGCAAACTAGCTCAAAAGGACCACCAATCCAAAAAACTCGTAGTTTGGACCAAAACCCCAAAAAAATACATACCACAGGGAGCATTTTTGCAATTTTGTCATCATTTTATTTGTAAAGGGACCAAAAGCTCTACAAACACCTTCACTAGGGACCAAATTTGCAACTTGATTTTTTTTAAAAACCAAAACTGAAGAAACCAACTAAACTCGTGGACCAATTAATTTACTCAATATAAAATTAAAGGCTACCAACAATCCAACATTAATATTTAATAGTATATGTAATATCAAACCAAATTGAGTGCATAACGACGTAATGATATCATATGCGTATAATATTACTTTTTTATTACGATTATATGCAAAACAAATAAAATGTATACACAGCAAAAGCTTAAAAAACCCACCCATCCGTATACGAAGACCACCTTCGTTCTCACTCACTCTCAATTAGG